TAGTAGTTAGACCAGGTCAGGAGAGCACTTTCAAAGTGAATGCCCCAATCATCCCTACTTACCCTGCTGTGGTTTGCATCATGAAGAGGGCACAAGAGGTGGCTTCCTCTCAGGTGAAAGGCAGGCAGCGTGCACACTGCAATCTCAGCACTCTCCTGAATTATGGATCTGCTCCCAGGCTGTACTACTTGCTAGCACAGACACAGCTGCAGTATATTTATTGCACCTTGAAATCTCTTGATAGCATTTGGGAAGTGAGTTCACTGGCTGGATTAATTAACCACCAAGCCTGGTATTTTGACTGGCTAATGGTTAATCAGGGGCTTTATTTTCCAGTTTACACCACCTTGTTTATGATGTTGAGTCCAGCCTCAGTAGTATGGAAGAAAAATATGCCTCTGTTTCTGAGGTAAAGCATCTTAGTGTCTTGCATAAACCTGAAAAATTAATTTGGAGTAAGACAGGGTTGTAACAGAGCTGGGTATGGAAATCACTTCCTGGTGTCTGGCTCAATCAGAATCTTTACTCCCAGTGGGAACTTGTCATGTCCCTTGTCTTAAGACTCACTAGCTCCACTTTGAAAAGAGTAGGAAACCACCACATCCTGCAGCTGCTGAGTGACCTCCATCCCTACCCTTTCCTTCTGCCATCACTTTCCAGCACCCAGACCCAAATAACTCTCTCTTCCCTAATTACAATGACTGCATACCTAAATATAACACTTACATCATGAAGGAGAGGGTGACAGCTACCAGTAACTCTCAGGGCATTCAAAGCTTCTCCATCATAGAGGTGACCTCTCACCTTGGTTGTGCTGGGCTGCTATGAGGCTGTGGTTTGACTCAGCTGACAGAACACTGTGGCTGCCATCGCTGGATGATCTCTCACCTTTGTGTACTCTCCACCTGAGTTCCATCAATGGCCCTGCTGCCATCTCTTCTGTGCAAGTCATTCCTAAACTTCTCCTCCCATCCAGCTTCCCAATGCACATGCAGCACAGCCTGTGGCTCCAGTGTAATTCACCATTCTGGTACATGTCCCACACACTTACACAACTTATTGTCATCTTTGTTATGTGTCATGAGCATGCAGGGCTCATATCACAGGCTCTGTGTTCCTGGCAGACTATCACAATCTTGACACTTATTTGAAGCACTGGAGTAAAACCCTTGATGCTCACTGAGGTACTTGATAGCTTTTTTGCTGAGCAGGTGCTTGTTCAGTTTTGTTATGTTGTTAATGTCTGGCAGTAGGAAAATATTAAGGAGGTGTCAGAGCTATGGAGGAAAAAGCCAATTCCCAAGTTATGGAGGGGTGATGGAAGAATTTTTGGGCTGACTGGAGTGGCAAAGGAGCAGACAATTATACTTTACTGGCAGCAAGCAGCACATGTTTTCCTTCAGAGCTGACCCTGTACAAGTGTGCCTCAAAGACTTTCACACAACATCCTACAACAAAGCTAGCTGGTCTGGGGAGAAACACAGTTCAAAGTTTTAATGTAAAACCTTCAACATGATATTTAGTGCATTTTGACACTCTGCCCTTCACAAAGCCCTATTTTTACAAAATTTTATGAGAATTAAAATCTCAGTCTGAGGTACCAGAAGCTACAGGTTCTGTGGGGTTTCAAGTTAGATTCATGTAATTCCTTCTGAGATATCCCATCAATTGCCTCATTTAGTCGTCAGTGCCATTTAAAAAGCATGCAACTGAACAAAATCCAGCAGCACACAGAAAAACAAAACATGTCAGCCTCACTTCAGTCCCTGCTTCCACCAGCATCTGCCTAAAAAGTTAGGGAAGTGTTGGTACCCCCACTACACAGGGCACACAAAAACTCACTGACAGAGCTAGACAAAACTTAGCAAGGCAAATCATCCCCTCAAAACTTGCATAAATTCCTTTAACAAGGTATTTTTAACCTAATTTTTCTCCAGCCTCCACTCCTCCCAGCCACAGGGCAATGGTAGCAATGAATTTTGTGTTCAGTTTACAACAATGGTCTGAGATCAAGTCAGGCTAGCTCAGGCCATGGCTCCATGACAGCATCTTCAACATATGCAGCATCAGCTTGAGGTCTTTCACCCTCTGTCATCTTGCTCTTTCTTTCCCTTGTCCAAAGGAATATTGTTTAGTCCTAATAAAGGCAAAGACAAGGAAGAGAGGAAGAAGATGTGTCCATTCACAAGGGTTTTGTCCTTTACAGTAAATTTAGAGCAAGGGTGAATAAAGCCAGTGCATTTGTAACGTTTCAACACCTACCTCTTTCCTGTAAATTCCTGCAGAATTTTTTGGCAGCAGAAAGCATAACTATGCTAGAAGTAATGGAATTACAAAAGAAAGAAAGGAAGGGAGTGTAAGCAGTGGGAATAGGAAGCAACAGCTAAACAGAGACTTTTCCATTCATATACACACCCTTCTCACATAAACCAGAGGCAGCTATTGCCTGACTATTAATTTTGTTGATCATCTTATCTTCTGAGAACAGGGTTTGGGTGTAGGACCAACAACTTCTAGTTCATCTGTCCCCAACATGGCAGCTTTTGTTTGTGAGGTAAGTGTCAGCAGTACTCTTTTCCTTTTGATAGCACACTTATTTGTGTGGGTATAACAAACTGTAACAAACTAAGCTATCATCAGAAGCCTTTATCCCATAAAGATGCCCATTCCTGGGCAGCTGTGTTTTCCACAGGATCTCTCTGACTCAGCAGCTAGCACACTGAATAATGAAGCATAGGCAGTTACTGAAAATAAGTGCTTTCCAACACATGTGTTTCCAGGCTATGTTTCTCTTACTTTTCAAATGGGGGGAAAAAAAAAAAAAAGTTAGATGTGCAGAGATTGTTGAACTTTTTTGTGGTTTTTTGACAACTCAAGTAAATGGACTTCAAAGGAGAAAAAAAACTGTGAAGCTTGGCACATCAAACTTTTTCTATACATATCTATAAGCAGGCCTATATGTAGTCTAGAATACAGGAAACTGTGCAAATCAACTAAGGCAGAGCATCTTCAAAATAGATGTACTACCCACAGTCAAATGCAGAGCTATTCCAAGACATGCTGAAGAAAAACCTTTTTCCATCAGTCTGCCTTCTCCACAAAATCAGTTCAGCCAAGACTTGTGAGAGGAGGGGAATGCTTTGGTGAACAAGAAAAGGCAGTGCCACCCGCTCTTACACATGTGACTCTCATCAGGGGACTGGGATACCTTTTGCCTGGAGGTGGCTGTTCCTGTGGTTTAGCTGGAACGACTCAAGCTGTGCCTGCTGGCAGGGCTGGTCAGCCCTTGGGGCTGGAACAAGGGCAGAGGTGGAAGTTTTTCTGCACATGACTAAAACCTGAAACATGAGCTTAGGCATTGCTGCAATTGCATTTTAAGACATCCCACCCAGACAAGCACATGACTGCATTTATCCCTTTGGAAATCAAGCGTTTTTATGGGGGGGGAAAAAAATTTGTAACAATATTTGAAATTGTGACAATCTACTTAGATCAAATCATTATTTTTTATTACTCCTTCAGCAATTCTAGTTATGAATAGTCATAAGCAGGCCATGTTTGCTGGTGAAGTTTAAGGAAAGCCAAACCACTGAAACAGATGAAGTCAATGAACAGAAGAAACTGTCAAAAACCAAAGCTGCCTTGAACTGCTCACCCTGCCATAGCCAGCAGGCAGCTCTCCATGAATGCAAAGAAATCCTTAGTTTCAGTTCATTCTCTTAACTGTACTTCACATACACTGTTAATCCACATTTTAACTAACTGGCATATAAAAGACATTCCTGCTTTATGTGGAAAAAATACTGTGTGGTGGTAAGATGTGCTAGTGCTAAAATCCTGCAGGATTAGAACCTACCACGAATAATCAAGAAAAATTTATTTCATTAACAGGCTTAATCAAAACATTTTAGTCATCTTATTTCTCCAGCATGTTAAATATATTGCTAACTAATTAAAGAAAATTCTAAATAATTGCTTGGATTACATTTTCCATCCAAATGAAACTTACTGCAAATTATGGACCAATGAACAGGCATCTAATAGGAACAGACAGACAATGTTTAGTGTCTCTTAATACATGAAACATAAAATTTCAAGGGCCTCAATCAAAGTGTCAGGCTCACAATGGCTTTAAAACACACACGTGTATTCAGACAAAATCAACATATTGCTGCTGCCGGTGGCAGCCACGTCTTCTGGTCTTAGAAGTTGCCTACTGCATGGTTCACCTTCACAAAATACATTCCTAGCAGCTGAGAACTGTGGGAAGGGTGGAGATGCCAGAGGACTCCTCAGGCAGGAGATGCCAGGGTGTTTGGGACAATGGCAGGGAGGGAAGAGCTGCTCACACCCTCCAGCAGGCTGTGGTTGCTAACCTGGGTGTGGAAAAGGGCACATAAACAACTGATGAACAACAGGCCACCCTTGAGATGATGGGCCAAACAGACTTTAATAGTGGTGCAGTTGTGTGAAAATGTTAATTTGGTTACCAACAAACAGAGAGGGGTGGGGGGAAATCTGTCAGGGAGGGATGAGCATGAAAACATGGCCTAGAGCACAAAAACAAGGCAGAAATCGATTATCTGAATGAAGCTTTCCCAACTGCTGATCTAATCAGCAATTAAAGCAGCAATTCAAATCAATGTAGCCTGGTGCTATCTTACTCTCTATTTCTAAGTTTCGTATCTTTTATTTACACATAATTAATAAACTTCCTATGACATGTCCTGGATTTTAGAGTACATGAGAAGGCAGTGGATGGTAAGCAATGAAAATGCTGCACTCGGCTGCTTTTCCATTTGAGTGCAAATAGTATCAACAGAACTCAGGCATTCGCCCCAGTAATGGGGAAATGGCATCAGAAAAATGTCTCCTTGCATTATTCAGATCTTTAGCTGGGGGAGAGTCAGGAACAGCATTAACATTTATTAGACTGCAAACCATACCATGCAGATCTCCTGTACCAAAGTGTGAAATCCCAAATTGGTACAAGCTTGTTAAAACAGACCATTTTTACTGTTACATGAGGAATAGGGAAAGAGAAAAGAAAAAAAAAAAAAGAAGAGCAATTGTAGCTTTTCATCAAGTATATTTCATAATTGTCCATTAAAATACATACCTGCATCACAAAACACTTTAAAAAAACCAAGTATTTTTGAATGTATGTACAACAATGCAAAAATATGCCTAAATATGTATCTAATGCAAAAAAATAAACCATTTAATAAAATCTCCCTTCAAATGTCCCCTTGCTCTTCAACATGTTAAAAAAAGGACAGAGCTCAGTAAACGAACAGGAGTTAAAACACAAACTAACAGATGAGAGCAGTGCAAAGCAGACACCTGAGAATGGAGAGGCATCTGATTCAGCTTCCCATTCCCCAGGATTATACACCACAACTATGGTGCAAGTTGTCCTATGTCAGCAGAATTTTAATTTTAAGAAGTCACCCTGGTGTTCAAGCTCCAAGAGGCTGCCTGTGGCGCTCATTTTCCATGTGAACAAAAAAGTTAATGATAATCCAACTAAGCACCCTTTAAACCCCCTTTAAACAGGGGTGAATTTCACCCTAGGCAAATGTTTCATGTTCTGTGTACTCCTGCCAAGCACAAAGAGGTCTTGTCCAATGAAAAATATGGACTAAGTCTACCTTGACAACTGTGGTGGGAGAGAGACTTCTGCTGTTTCATGGCTACTTGTTTAGTCACCTCTTTTTGCATTCTCTAGGAAACTGTAAAGAGGCCTCTACTCTTAGAATTACAGTAAATCAAATAACTTGCATTTGTGGTGTTGCAATGTCACAAGTAGTTGGGGTTGTAAGTATTTCTGAAGACTAGGTCTGAGTGTCTGAGTTAAATGAGACTTTCCAGTTTCTAAAGAGAATGCTGATCTGATTCTTACTCGGATGAGTTTAGGTGATTGATGTGTATCCTTTATCTTGCTAGAGTCATCGCTGCCCTCAGAGCACAGAGGCTGTATGTAACACACAGCTCTTGCTTGCAGAAGCAATCTGAGGAGGTTTCAGTATTGCTCCCTACAGGGAAGGTGGCAGGAATTGAAGCATTATTAAAAAAACCTGCTTATAAGGCACTGGTGCAGCAAGGTTTGTGATGAACATGGTTTAATCATTCCTATTTTCCAACTGTTTAAAAGTCAGTCTATTAAATCAACCATAAATAGCAATAAAAAGGCATTAGAAAAGTCCCAAACCAAAGAAATCAATTTAGTATTGAAACTTAATTTATGGCAGTCCCACTTCAGTGCACACACTAGCTCCTGCATGTTTTTTTTAAACTCATTGTAGGCACATGCTCACACTATATACAGAAGTACCCTGACAAAGTCATGATGCGCTGAACATCTACAAAACACAAATTTTTAGATGACCTCATACAGTTACATGTTAAACTTACAGGTGGCAGACAGGAACATTGGTTCACCCACTGTACATATCTATCCAAAGCTTTAACAGAATAAGAATATACACAATATATACACATAATTCACACAGTAAAACAGTCCTCAACATCTGCTATTTTGTAGGCCTATGCATTTCTTCTATTAAAATTCCACACATGGAACTACCACTGTGCCAGCTCCTCTTCATAAGCAATAGGATCACTTCAGGTAAATTAGTTCTTCATGTATATGTAACAGAAACAGCAAAAGCGCAGCCTCTAGTCATCACTGTCACTCCCAGACTCACTCAACTGCAAGTCATTTCCTATGGAAAACAAAAACCAACAAAACACAACTAGTGAGTAGGCGTTAATTCACATTTCATGGCAATCAAACCAAAGAACAGTCCCATTAACACTGGAAGATTTAAATAAGAATAACACATGAAATGAATGCAAACATCATCTATGATTTAATCAAACTGCCCAAGAACATCAAGAGCTGCATGGGGCTAATACACAGCTGGATCCAGGCCAAACCAAGCATCCTTGTCTCCAGAGCCACCAAAGGTGCTCCCTGGTGGGACAACAGCCCTCTCCATGCTAGCAGCTGCAGAATGCATTCCACAGCCTCCACCCACCCAAGTTCCCATATATGGGTCTGGGACAAGGCACTGGGGAATTCCTTGGCTTTCTTTACTGTTTAAAAACAAATTATTATTTTTTTTTAAGGCCATTTGGGTAGCCAAGGCAAGGCCTCCACATGTCAATAAACCAAAAGGACTGTTAAAGCCATCACAACTCAAGACTGAACTAAGCTGACACATGCTGTGACGGTGCAGGCTCCTCTCCAAAGTGCAAAGATCAGATGAAAGGCCAGGATACGGATCAAACCTAATGGCCCTGATCCCGTTTTGCAAAGCACTTGTGATTTGGTGAGGTGGAGGGGATAAAAAGGGGCAAGAATCATGTTTGTGTTGAGATAATTGAACCTAACTCTTCCAGCATTCTCCCATGGCCCTCCCTTTCAAAACAGCTGCAGGCCATCTATGCAAGAGCTATGCCCTGGATTTCTCCATCTCCTCCTCCCTTTTGCGAGACAGGAACATGGGTTAGGGATGAGTCTCCCCCCAGCAAAAGTATTTTAAACCCAAAGGCAAAAAGCATTGAATGAAGAGAGTAGCTACCCTTGTAGTTCGCAGATTCTCCTGCAGTCAGAGGCTTCAGATTCTTAAACCCATGCAGTATTGTCATGGAGAAGCAGGAGGCTGCTCACAACCAGAAACAGGGAAATGGACACAGTCCTAATGACCTTGCTGAACTTTGGTTTTCACTTAGTCCTTCATTAATGGCAGGAAGACTGACAGGCCTCTAAGTTCTCCAGCAGGGCATTTCAGTATGGTCTGTACAATATACCTATTTTCTCAAAGCTGGAAACCCTACACATATCTGCATTCAGACTCCACCAGCTCCCTATGAATGGGTGCCAAGAGATGTGTGCAAACATGCCTCAGGAGGAATTAAGAACAATTTACAGTAATTGCAAATGCAGTATTTTAACTCCACCGAGTTAGAATACACCTGATGTAGCCTAAGGAAAGAGCAACACAGATGCAAGCCATGTCCCCAGAGTGAGTCTCATGAGACAGTACTGTGCTTTAAAAATACTTCTGACACTTTTTAAAGGGTGAAGTGAGCTTGTACTGATTAATGCTTGCAACATCATAGCTGTACTGTTTTAACATAATTTTAATTTAAATTTCCCTTCCAAATGTGATATTTGTGAAAATACAGCTGAGACCAACACAATAAATATGCTGACAAAGCAATGCTCAAGACCACAGAGACTGCACTTAGGAACCCAGGACAGTCTTTTGCTGTTCAGAGTTCTTTACAGATCTTTAACTGACATGTGTCAACCCCACTATTTCCATTTAATCTGTGCATTTACATGAATATAATTCCCATCCTCCAGTGCAGCCGATCCTCCCACACCAGTGGATACTTGCAGGCCTGAATCAAAACCCAACAGGACCAATGGGGGCCACTGCACTGATGCCCACAGGCTTTCCACACCTTCAGTCAAGTCTCAGCCCCTGTTCATAAAATCTGCTCATGTATTTCAGCCAGTGCAACTCCCTGGGACTACTATTTGGCAAAAGGCATTTCATGAAGTTAGCCTAACATGCTAAGTAAATGAGTGGTCATAATCAGCTTTCACCAGTGGTAAGACGCAAGCATTTACTTACGGAGCGTGTTCATGAGCTGATTGCTTCCTTGTGGCCTGCTGGTGCCGTTAGCAACAGCATTCCTGTTGTTATACTGCTGGTGTGGTGGCTGGGAAGGGGAAACATGTGCTGGCTCTTCCCCCTCGCTGCTTGAGCTTTCATCTTCACTCCCAGATGAGCTTTCTGAATCCGATGAGCTGCTTCCACTGCTGCTGCTCATCTGCTCAATAATTTCAACCTCTGCTCTCAGTTCTGAAATAAAAAGGAGTTCATCTGGTTGATAGCATAAACAGGGCCCCATGGAATTTTGGAAAAGAATGTGCAAATGCAATAGTTTTATCAAGTATAGTTTATCACCCCAAAATACCTCACATGAAAGAGCAAGACAGGAAGGGAAACCAAAAGATTCTGAAAACCATTTTACTTACTGCTGTAGCTAAATTTAAAGAAGCAACAGCACAGGTTAGTATCATAAAACCTTCTCTTCCACAATTATTTTTCATGTACTTCACACTTCCAAAAGCACTTTCAGCTTCATTATTTTTGGCAAGCTATATGGTCTGCATACAAAGTACATTAGCTGATCAAGAAAATCTGAATCTGAATTGTTAGATGCTGGTGACATTTAAACTTTTGGAAAATACAAAAAATGGTGTGTGGGGGGCTGGGTACATGGACATGGGCAAATGATCGCAATAGAAACTGCCTTGATTTCAGATAATGCATGAAACTGCTCTAGTGCAGTCAAACAGCCCATTGTAAACAAACTTCAGAAGCAGATGGATGACAGGAAATAACTTTGCAGTAGGGCAGGTGAGAATTGCTGAGAATTTTCACATACTGGGGAGTGGCAAAAATACCATAACCTGCTACAGAGCTTACAAGCAGCCAGGAAATAATGAAACTATTCTGAAACTAGGAAGTTACACAGCTTATGACACTGCCCACTTCAGGGTTTCCAGTGGAAAGAAACACTAGAGCACCATGGCAGCAGCACAACAGCCTCATCAGCAACAGCCAGTGTCGGCCGAATGACCGGTTACTAAAGAGCTATTAAGGTATGCCACCCCAAATTTTACAATATTGTTAAATTTGTCATAATTATAACTGGCCTAAACACTAGCAGAGAACAACTCTTTTGCATCCACCCACAAGGCTGAGTATTTAATGACTCGGTTAATCTTGGCACATTTCCATGAGAGAACAACATCCACACATATATTAAGCATAGGATGTGAAACCCTCAAAATTTAGGCAAAATTGTGCTGAGTTCTATACCCATAGTGCTTGTCCTGGAAACTCACAGACTAAAGGGACAAGAATGAAAGAAGGGAAAGATGAGGTATTATCACCCCTATAACAAATAACAAATGGAGAACTGATGCTGGGAGTAATTCATGTCAGGTCAAATGTGCGTCAAGAGTTCCTTTTTTAATAAGACTCATTTTCCTTGGGCTGCCTAAAATAAAAAATAACAGCTAAGTTTTCAGCCTCCACAATATTTGCTGGAGAGAATTCCTCTAGCTCAGCATGAGCTTGAGAAATTGTGGGTTTTTTTCCAGATTTAAAATCACTTTTTCACTTTCAAGGTTTAGAGCTCAATTTCAAGTGCTACAGTTATACTCCAGCTGGGTATTTAAGGATAGCAGCGTTGTTTTTCCACTTTATTTCCTAAATCTAGATCCCTGCCTATACCATCTGTGCTCTGTGTAGTTCACCAGGATGCCAGGTAAAACCTACCTTTTCAGCTTGAAGACTTAGCGTAAGAGACCACTGGAAGAGCAAGAAAGTATGACTCAACAAAATCATGTATTGATTCAGCAGGCCAACAGAAGATACTACTTTGTACTGTAATATCTTTCTCTCTTATTGCCTCTTAACACAATCTTTAAACACAGTCTTTAAACATACATTTCGGGCCTGGAGTCTCGTACACAAACAAATGAGCACCTGTGAGTCACTGCTCTCAGCCTACCCATAGGAGGATTTCAAATTATAAATATTCCTTGTGTTTAAGGCTAAGAAATTAATAGGGGAAAGCTAAAGGAAAGGTAACCAGGAAAAAAAGGTACTTTCTCTTTAAAATGCTCAGGTTTAAACTTCTTTTCCCCCAGCTCAATGATGTAAAATTTCTGCATTCTTGTAGTGATGGAGTTAGTTGCAAATTATAGTGATGATAGTAGTACAGTGTTAGAATACCCTGGACTGCAGCAAGCACAATCACCTATCACAGCCTCTACTGCAAAAAGATACAAGAGACAAATCTAATACAGGACAAGTGCCTGAGAATTACACATGTATGCCTACAGAGCTGGAGTCCATGGTTGAAATGGGGGAATGTTGGCACAGAGTCTGAGAACATAGAGTTCACATGTAAAATAGAGTGAAGAAGGTGAAATGATCTTAGGCATTAGTGGTGAGAGGGAAAAGTTAAAACAAAAACACACCGCAGAGAACAAGGAAAAAAACCCCAAACCTATGCAAGTAGTGAGGACTCAACACAGTAGGTGAGGAAATAACTGAAGGAAGTGATGTTGTCTGACCAACGGGAAAGGAAGATTAGCCTGGCCAGTTTTAAACAGAATTGGAGATTAGTGTGAGAATGAAGAATGGAAGGTTTCTGCCGGAGAAGCAGAAAACTAAAGAGCCCATAAAAGAGGCTTGATTATGACAAAGGAATGAGAGAATGCCTTGGAAGTAGTGCTAAAGCCCACTATGCTGAACAGAGGCAAGAAAAACCAAAACAGAACCAGTATCACGAGCTTCAAGGACTGGGAAGTTAAGGCTGTTGTCAGTGACAGTAGTCATGGGTAGAAACTTGGTCAGAGCCCATGTTCTTGTCAACTTTTGCCTCACAGGCTGATTGACAGCTTCCCCTCAGATCTCTGTTGTCTCTTGTTTCTTGAGCCCAGAATTCTAAATATCTTATCTGAGCAGATGAGAGAAAAGCAATTGTTTTCACTAATGTTCTGGTGGCTGCTGTACCAGTAGAAGTCTATCAAGAGAAATTCAGCAGGACCACTAAGGAATTCTCTTCAAAACATTCTTGTCTCACACTGTCAGTGACTAAGCCAATGATGACATCAAAGCCTTATAGGAAAAACACATCTGCTTTATGATGGTTTGATTTTGCATTTTCCCAACTGACTGCTATGCTTAGTACAGTTACAGGTACTGAAGATGTGGGTTAAACATTTCTTTATGGTGCTTCCAATTAAAATAGCTGTGTGTGTATGTGTACATATATTCTAACCTGAACAAGGAAAGAATTTGACCTTTCCTAGATCTTTCTGCGCTGTAAGATCAAACACCTCATGTCGATGCGCCTTTGCAGTTTAAAAGATGACAAGAGCCAGGATGTGCAGCAGCTACTTTTTAAAAAGCTTTCCATACAGTACAGTTTCGAACACTTGCCTTAATTGAGTCTACATCATCTGAAAAGGCTGACACTGCTTTGGGAACCTTAACTTCTCTACATTTCATGTTACTGCTGTAAAATTTTTTTCAAGAAGAACCAAATGACTGTTTTACACTGACAGGCAATACAGGTTTTAGAGTAAAAAAAAAAATGAATCCAAGGTCAGAAATAATTATCCAAACAGAACAGCCTTTCTCAACAGGGCTATCTTCTGTATATATTCAGCATCAAATACCATAACAGTGTTTAATTGCTCCTACTTCTTCTCTCAATTCCAATAGGTTATGCAGATTTTTTTAACTAAAGCCTTAACCTTAGGCTGCAAGAATACCAAGGACTTCCAGAAAAATGTCATTCAGCTTTAGGGAAAGATAAGTTTGAATGCCTATAGCAGAGCATTTACTGCTAATAACAGAATGTAAGGTGGAGAAATCAACTTGATACTGGCACTCTGAGCATGTGGAGATGGCAGCTACAACAGGCAGTATTTTATACTGATGCACAGAAAATTTAATTGAGGTGTTCTTGAGAGACAAATACAGTGCTATGGCATAATCTTCACACACCACAACTACATTCCAGGTAAATAAAATCTGCCCAGATTTTTAAGCACTGAGTCTTCAAACCTGAAATATATTTCTGTGGGCTTTTTTCTCAAATGTTGTAATTATGTCAATATTACTGACATATATCAATAAGTTGCATGCTGTAGTTTTTCAGTACTACTGACATATATCAATATGTTGCATGCTGTAATTATGTCAGTGGTGTTGAAAATATTTCTGGTGTGGTAAAATATGTCTGATAAATGTCAACTATTCTGTGCAAATAAATGGCTGTACTGTGGTATATGTGTGCAAATGTCCACAGTTTAATGAGACATTTTCAGATGTAGCTGAGTGTTCTAAAGAACAAGCTCCTACCCTCTCCTATGCTCCCTTCAGGCACGAGGACAATATAGAAGCTTGTAGAGGAAAGGATTCCATTTGTGCAAAACCCTCAACACAGCCTCCCAAAAGCCTCTGTCCATAAAAGAAGGGACTGGTTCAATTCCCAGGTGCTCTGTCCTCAGACACTGTTGTTTAGACAGCTGTGTAACAGCACAGAACTGACCTACCTGAAAGTTCATTTCCAGCTCATCTGTAAGGGAGTGGTGGAAATGCACAGCTGAGGGTACCAGGGAAAGCAGAAATGTGCACTGGGTTACCTTAAAACCACTGTGCAACATCATGAGGGCTGTGTGTATCACCACACCCTTAAGTAGGGCATACTGGAAGCAAGAGAGTGTCAGCATGCCAGGGATTCTTTCAAGCACCTCCTTTGGGAATTTTAAGTTCTGTGCTGTGTTCATTAAACAAAATCCACAGAATTTCAGCTTTCTGTTTATCTTTCTTTCGTACAGAGGAAGTACTTCAACCAAAACGTAAGCTACTGCTTGAATGGAAAGAACACAGGCTCTTCAGAACTTTCAAGTCTGTGCTCATAAAAACACGTATTAGGGGAAGACAACAGGATTGCAGACTACCCTACAGGTTTTACAGGTCATTGTCTACATTTCATTGTGGGATGGTGCCATTTTAATTTTACCTTTTCTAAGTAGGTTCTTATGATATAAATGGTTTAGCAAAGCTGACACTCTAGATCATCAATGCTGGAAAAAGTTACAGACTGTAAGTAAAAAATACCCCTTGCCCAGGCTTTTGGCTCTTCTGGGGCCTTGTACAGTTCTCCCTGTAAAGCACCAAATTAAAGTCCTGTTTTCAGTACAAGTCAGGTGCTCTAATCCTTGATTTTGGAAACAAAACCCCACAGGTTATTTATTTGGAGGCACTTTCATATAAAAGATAATCAGGTGGCAAAAAAAATATTAGGACAGCTCTGAACAATGTGACTTATACTTTAAACCACTAGAAAATTATCTTTTAGAATAAGTGTTACCCCAGACAAATGTAATTATTTTACTGTAATACAACCTTTACAAATTGCTGTATGGATACAAATGAGTGCCCCAAAGGTTAAGTAACTTATTACACCCTACAGGAAAAGACATTTAAAACCCACAACTGATTGAATTAAAAAAACTGATATATCACCTATTATCTTTTTCCTTACCCCTATTACACAGAAAATAAAAATAACAATAACAATGCAGCTAAGGGAAGTGTAGCTAACAGAATTTCCCAGACGTTGATTCTGGCTGCTGACCAGCATCCAAGTACTGAAAACACTACTGCTGCAGAAAAGTGAGACCAGTCAGCACCTATGCAAACACATAGCTTAGCAGCAAAAATGTCACCTAGTGATTACCATGAACTGAAAAAATACCCTGCTGAGTAATTATCTTCATCTGGGCAATTAACACAGGCTAAGTCTACAGGCAAAAATAGCTATATGGGACAGAGAAAAATGAGAAAGAAACCCAGAAAAGCAGACAGAAAGAACAAGCTTAAAATAAAATAATGGTGCCAGTGCCAGAGAAGAATCAAACAAAAATTAAAATCTTCCCTATCCTGGCTGTATTATCCACAGTAAAACCAGATATCACATCAGTAGGAAAAGAAGGCCATGGGCAAAGAAAGTGCATCCTACCCACAGCAGAACAGGAAGCCAAGGTGCTGCTTGAGCAGAAGAGTGAGTTGAGCCAGTCATTTCTTTAAGGTACTTTTTTACTAGAAGTTTAGCAACCATATGGCAAGTGTGCCAAAGCTGCAAAGGAGTGGTGGTGGAAGAGGGTAAGCTGCAGGTTTGTTCACTCATTCCTCCCCTACTAGCACTGCTTGGCATGGTGCAAGCTTGTCTTGTGCTGGGAACACAGCTGCCTAGCCCTTCCATCCCACCAACCTTACTCAGTGCAGGGTAACTTTCTCCAAGTGACTTGACTGTGTAACAAGACCTTGGACCATCAGGCTTTGTCAGTGCTGTTGTGGTGGCCTAATACACCTGTGCAATAGGTCCAGCACTAAGCTGCTGGTTTTTGAATTCACATTATTTTTTTTTCTTCTTTTCAGAACAGAGGAATAGTTTGGAAGAGAGAAAATTATCCAGAAAGAGGAAGCTTTCTCATGTCAGAGAAGATGGCAGTATAAATATCTCTTCTAGTAGAAGAGAATAAATAATCACTTCAGTTAGATGAATAAAGAAACGAGATATAAGGAAGAAAACACAGCTGTCAAGTACCATCTTTGAATCCCCGAATGTTTTTAGAAATTGTACAGCCAACATTTTTATTATAAAGAAGAAAGACAAAATCAACCAAAACTTAAGAAACTACAAACCCTTCTTTACCTCTCTTAATATCATCCAGCTGAGGCTCTGGTGAAGGATTATCCTTCAAAGGAGAAGTTTTAGGTCCAGCTGCTGGCTTGGTTGGAGCTCTGAACTGTGAAGGAGGCTGAGATGCTCGAGCAGACTGTTGCTCTATTCGGGCTTGGATCTTACTGCTGCCCTCTGCTCTGAAGAAACAACCAGACACATTCAGTGGTACTGTGCAACTATGTCCAGCTTTTTCAGTATCCTTGTGCTAATGCATCATCTGTGACATTCTTTTGTACAGATCTCTACTCTGTTTTACAAAGATGAGGACTGTATTACAGCTTTCTGTATGCAACACTTCCTTTCAATAACAAAGAAACATACAACTACACTGCAACACTCTTACAAAATGTACTTTCAAAACCAGATGTGGTTCAGTGATGTCAAATTCTCTACTTGAAAAACAATGAAAGCTTTAATTTAGCAATTAGTACTTGTATTTTTATCAATCATAGTAATTTAAAGTAACTACAAATCCATTCACAACAAAATCCTGCTTAAAACAATCACAGCAAAAGAAACAATTTGCTCACTTGCAATTAAATCATCTCAAACTAAACTCTCTTAGAGGTCAACTTGACTAGAGTAATCATTCTTACTGCTAAATACAGCATACAAGCATTTAATTCCTGGTTTTTATCCATTTGCTGTTGGCCTTTCAAAACAGTTCAAGCTGTTTCCTTAGTGGAAAATAGTCTCCAGAATAACACTCTACCAACCTGTTCAATTCAAACCAGGTATTTCTGCCATTTACTGAACTTCTGATGTGACTGAGATTGCAGAACAGTCAATACCCTTGGCAGAAAAAGAAACCCAAAAAACCAACCACAAACCCAAAATAGGTTCCTTTACAGTACACCATAATAAGGTTAAAGGGTGTGGTGTATTTATTATGTAACACCAAAGCCTTTGGGGTTATGGCTTTATGCAGTGCAGCACAGAAGTAGCTTGTGGTTATTAGAGCTCAGTTTCTCTTTTAGGAGGGTCCCAGCTCAGCAATGTTACACTCTGTGACTGGAAACTAATCCCACTGCCAGGTAAGTTAAACTAGTCCAGGCTGAACTTCCTGGGAATTCATCTAAACCACCTGTGGTACTGGAGCTGGTACACAGAGAATTTGCTGGGCTATCTCTGTGCCTCAGTGAACTCTAGATTCAGCCTCACAGAGAACCCTCTCTTCATTCATCAGTGACATGCAGCTGTTGGATACCACATTAATGCAGTTTACAGTCAATCTACAGCAGAAGTGAGGAGTTGGGAAGATACTCACTGTATCAAGTGAAAGGTAAAAGCCAAAAATTTCCACTATTAATTATGCTCTTGGAACTACAGATGGTTTTATGTGGAGTAAGGTCATGGTTTTATGTGGAGTAAGGTCAGTTACCCCCTTGTGAATGTCCTCAAGGTGTTAACACTAAAAGCCCTGTTCCCACAGAGTGTCAACAGGTCGTTAAAGATCAGAGTAGCCATGGAAAATAAAAGGCACTTCTGATCTAGAAAATCAGTGACTTTGCAAAGCACTGTTCATCAAAACCGGGATCCCCAAATTTTTTACTACCCTCCCTCTGCCTGAGAAAAATTGAAGTATTTTTCCCCACACCAGAGTCAGAACTCAGTGTAACCAAAATCTCACTGAACCAAGGCCCTCCTGCACTTACTTGCTCCCTTCCGACTTAAGCTTCACCAGACAAAGTCCAGCAGAAGAGAAACTGGGATCTCAAATCTCATCTCTGATGTGCTCATATCCACTGGATAAGATGAATACTACATGGATGAGTTTTCTCATTACTGACTCAGAGGAGTGTTACAGTCCATTTACCTTTAACTCAAGGTATTCTTGGCAAACATCCAGCCAACTAGTGATGAGCTGCAACCTACATTTCTAGTAGTTTTAGCAGCTAAGGATTCTACACTGCAATAAAATGTTTTTTAACATAAAACTTCTAAATTTATTTGAGTTTCTTCTTCAAGAAGGCATTTGAGTGACTGCTTTCTTTTTAGATCTCAACCTGTGGTTCAGTGATGCTGAGAGATCCAGACACTTCAGGTACTTGCAGAGCAGTAGGACTGCTATAAAGGTCCCAGCTGCATACTTCATAGCATTTGTGCAGCAAAATAAGAGTATTGGGTCAGAAAGGATTTCTAGCTTCATCAATTCTTCTAGGCAAAACACCATAACCATTATTTCTACAGCTCTGCCCACCTTCACCAGCTGGAGGCTTTGTACTTGCGTTCCACTTAATATATTGCTTGTCCAATATGGGAATGAGCGTTTCTTGTTCACCAAGATTATGTTATTGAAACATCATGACTCCCACAGGAAGATGTAGGGAACAAACCTAGAAAGTCCAATAATCCTTTTGACAGTCTAATATTTTCATGGGCTTTTTGGCTAAACAGAGATTCCTGAAACACATCCCATCCTTCAGCCAGCTTCTAAAGCCTCAAATCATACAGGTGTTTCACTGCAAACTATAATTATGTCATTTCAGCAGTGGAGAATTTACAAATTCTTTACTCTTGGATTCACACTCCTATTTGCATTTTTAGGCATGATAATTGGCCATGTAAAGCTAAGGCTTAGTAATTAAACATGACTACAAAGTAAGAGAGTTCTGTTTCAAAACCCAGTCTTAGTAAGAAACTTCAGCAGTAATTAATCCTGTGAAGAACCCTGTCCCCAGCTTTACCTTGTTTTCTTGACTTGAATGCTGCTACTAAGCTTTTCCAGCACATACTCCCCAGTGTCATGATTGATAATAAGCACACAGTCCTTCTGATATGGTCTTTTATTTCCTTTAAAGACAGTCATTGGTGGAGTTGAACCCTGGTAAAAAGAAAAAGCACATATTTGTTTGGTTATATTACCCTGTCCAAAAATTTATGAATACTAAGAGAAAATAACATATGAATTGTTCTGAAAAAGAGGCTAAGCATTTAATGTTTAGTTCCTACAGAAAATATTCATTCATGAAGAGAAAAATACAGAGAAAATGTGCAGTAGATCAGACATTTCCTCATAGCAATATTATGCCTTTCATCATTTTAAGTGTCTCTGCAGTGACAAAACATCTTCTCCATGGCTGCCTTTATTTACAACTCTCATTCCCAAAATGGCAGCGTAACTAAATTTGCATAGCTGTCCCTGACAAGTATCAGAAATCTTCTTGATGTTTCTGCCCTGGAAATCATGGGTTTGGATAAGAAATAAAGTTCTAATTATTTGCGTAGCAGAACTATTGCCCAAAGAAATATGTGGTCAATTGAAAAATAATTTAAACTGCATCATATATTTTACATAAATATATATGACAGTATTTTCACTGGTTTACAAGTGGTTTACAAGCAATTGTCACTTACAAACTATGTAAGAACAGCTGCCTTCTTCAAAGTCAGATTATGTATATGCCCATGCAATTATACTGAAATGTGTTCTCAAAAGCAAATGGGCTATTTTGATGCCTTCCAAAAAGTCCCCAAGTCCACAGAATGCTGCATAGAGCCTTGAGAAATCTAAAGGCTTAGACTGAGAAGCAATAAAGGCCACAAACTCATGTGGTGGTGCACACTGGCTAACTGGGAATGCTGAGATTATGCTCAGCTGTACTGCATCCATGCACAGGCTGGTTCACACACTCAGTCTTGAGGTTACAGACAGCTGAATCCATGGTCTATCACCACATAAGGGCAGGGATACACCTGGCCTTGTCAGAAAGCTGTTACTCAAGGGATTATGTTCTCAGCTACAAAATATTCTCAGGCTTCTCTGTAATGTATAGATACTGTATAAAGGAATTTGTTTTTAAAAATAAATGTTTGTTCATATGCACCTTTGCACATACTGTGGGAAAGCAACCAAAATCAGGGAGAAAATGAAAAAACCCTGCACTCTCCTGTATTTTATTAAGAGTAACAAAAATGAACAATCACATTTTAACTACTTTGAAAGCAATTCCTATTCTCCATGTTGCTAATAGATTGAATATATTTGAATTTAAAGTGGGTTCTGAACAGTAAGTGTGAAAAATCTGAGCTCAGAACAAAGACACAGTAAGAGAGATTCAGAAATATGATTCAGAAAGGAAATTGTCTCAGGAAAGTCTAGTCTTCAAAGACATGTTACATTTTTATCGTTCCTACATTTAAGAGAGGAAAACAACATTTAAGAAAGTAAAAAGAAAGCTGAAAGTCAAATCCTGCTTGCTGTTGACAACTAAGCCAGGAAATGTAAAATGCAAACGTAATGAAAATTGATCAAAGTTTGTTGGCTACCATTCTGCTACCCAGAAGCCTCTTAACTCAGTAAAGACTGTGATTTTGGCTAAACAAGAAGTAGAAATATAAGTGCTTAAGCAAATTAAGTCCCACTCTTCTACTTAAAATGTTTAGGGTTTAGGTTAGTGCCTAAGTAACAGTGGCTTACAAATTTTGCTGATTACAGGAGGAATTGTCTCTCAGGCACATGGTGTAATTCTTGGGATTGTTCTGTGCAGGGTTAGGAGCTGGACTTTGATGATCTTTGTGGGGACTCTTCCAACTCATGATATTCTATGATCTTCTTCTGTAGTATGCTAACAAACAGAAATTTTCCCTTCCCCAATCCAGACTGGTTTTCAGGTATTAAAATCACTAAATCCACACATAGAAATAGTACTTCAATGTATCCAAGCTGCAAGAGACACCACAGTATTTCCACCAAACAAATTATCAGAGATATTCTCAGGGATTAGGCAATTTCAGAAAGAAAACCTGAACTCAGAATTTGAATCTTATCCAATTGTTGGACAACTGGGAAGCAAAGCATCCAAGAAATTCAGTGAAACTTGTCAGGGATGAAATGATCTCAAAACCTCTCATTCTTTTCCAGTATGCCAAGTGTTTTCCAGCTCTCTGTCCAGAACACAGGCAGCACTGCCTTGGAACAACACACACAGAGTGTCTTGGCTGCCTCAGCCTTTGGAGCATACCATAATCTCAAGGCTGTTCATATTGAGGGGAAGAGAATCAAATTGACCTCCTCAGTACAGAGATTTGGAAAGGAACATTACAAGTGATTCCGCTCAACACAAAAAATGAATAAGCAACACTGTTTCCAAATAATCCAAGATGAATGCTGCCCTTAGTTGTGTTGTTACCTACTCTCCAGTAGCACTACCACAGTCATCTTTTCTACAGACAAAAAACAGTATGTGACCTCCTGCAGCAGTGAAGGTGACCAAAGCCACATAAAGAACAGGAGCAGGGTGAAGCAGGCTACAGCTTCATTCAGCGAGAATTACCACAGTACCATCACCTACCAATTAAAACCATGGGCCTGCTGGGATGAACAATACCAAAAGGATCTGACACACGGCTTCCAAAATGACTGGTACCCCCCTGCAGCTACCAGACCCATTGATGTCTGTGAATTGTGGTTTATTGGTGTGACACATAGCATTAACTTCAGCTAATAAACAAATCCAGTTCCAGCACACGAGCACTTCCTTTTGTTTTGGTAAGGAAACCACTGAATCTTCAATTACAAACCAGCTGCACCTATAAACAGATTGATCACTTGTTTTATTGCTTTTTGACCATCATCTTCACACAGCAGATTTTTAAGGCATCATTAGGGAAGGAAGTGGATGGAAAACTACTTCATGACCACTCACCAGGACCGCCCCCTTGCTTCCACTGATAAAGCAAAAGGCAGGGAACCCTCTATGCCCTATCTGTACATGTTTGACTAAGGGCAGGAACACGCTTACAGGTCAGCCTGGGGGTTCTGAATATCCAACCTTGACTGAAGCCCGAGTTACATTGCCTTTCTTCAGCAAACCATAACACTAAAAATGGATGGGAAGCAGGTGTACAGCTTCAGCTAATAGTAAAATTCTCCTTGTCTGGGAAGGCTGGGAAGAAGGAAGGATGGGAGGAAAGGAAGGATGGGAGGAAAGGAAGGATGGGAGGAAGGGAGGAAGGAAAGGAAGGAAAGGAAGGAAAGGAAGGAAGGAAGGAACCAAAAGTAAAGAAAATTTCGGCAACCTCACAAATACAGCCCTTTACAAAGATCCAACTGTATAGTCCTTTCCTAAGGACTGCAAGGACAAACTACAAGTCCGGCTGCATAAATATTGAAGCCACAGTGTTAATAAAGAAAGTGAAAATAGCATTTACATTAGACTGTAACAACACTGCAAATTTACTGGAGAGTAAACAAGGGAACATATATAACAGACTTACTGGAATATGTGGCAAAGTGATGGTAACATCATCTCCTTTACCCACTTGCAGGTCTCCCTCACAAGACGTATCTATTGATGCTGGCTTAAAATCATCTAAAGAGGAAAACAAATGTGATTACATTTGTTAGAGTTGCCAGAAGAATCACTGTGCCCTGCAAAGAGCCACCACACATTTACTGTGATTACAGGGAATGGTAAAACACACAATAGTGTTTACAGCAGGGGTGGAATAACACACCAGTACATTGTGTCTATACGTAGCAACCCAGTCATGTGGTGGTGCCTTATTCTGAACCTTCTTTTTAAAAAGGAAATAAGGTTCTAGATCATGTGCTTGAACACCAAAAGCAGACTTCTCCAAACCCCAGGCTTTGAGTGGCACTTGGTTTTACAGGCCAGTGTAAAAAAACTGTACCAAATTCAAGAGAGTAACAACTTCCAAAATCCTGGGCTCTGCTTAGCTCTTTCCAATTCCAAACCTGAGGACTCTCTGTGATAAACACTAATTTAATGACACCCACTCATCTAGTCTTACAGATAGATATTTCAGGCTCTTTAACAGCCATCTCGCCTACACAATAGTGCTAAAAGCTACACATGGGTGGAGGAGATCTCAGCTCTCACTTCTGAGGAAAGAAAGAGGTGCTGATCTTACTTCAGCAATCTCCATGCTGGTCCAAAGCATCACCAAGGAGAGGCACTGTACTGGCTTTAAACTAACACTTGTTTTAGGTATTTTTGCTCTGTTGTACAGAATGCTTTGTTTCCCAACCAAGGCACTTCTGTTTAAAGCATGCATTTGAACTGAGGACATTTTAAGTTGAAAGTATTTTTCCGTCATTATTCTGTTGTGCTGGTGAGCCATAAAAAAAAAAAAACGAAAAAAAAACCTATCAGAACCTCTAATAACTTGAGAGACGATTTAGACAAAGTGAAATAAAATCACACAGATATAGGCTAGTTTGCTCTGTGTTTGTTTTTAAAAGAAGCCTGCATTCAATTCTAGCAATCCTGCATCTGAAGAGGTGCAATTATATTCATGATCAAGGCTTTTAATTACTGCATTAGTTATGAAATTAATACCTCAGAACAAATTTAAAATATAATTCCACTATGAAAAACACATTTGCAGGAAAAAGAACCCAAACCCTGGCTTGTAATAAATTCTCGTTAAGAGGATGTTAATGTTTAATTGGGTTTTACTTTGACAGCACAACAAGCAGAATCAGACACACTTGACTTAATCCTCATGCCTTAACTGCCAGATCAAATCATAGCCTTCAATTTCATCTGAGCAATCTGTTTCTAGCTATTGTTTCCCACCTACTTTATGTGCAAGCTTGCTAAATAAAACAAACCAGCTGTACAAGAGCTAGTGTCTTTGCCAAAACGGGATCAAGAGTTTCAACAGCACAGTCACTAACTTAAGAGGAATATCACTATCAGTCTTCTTTCTTAGCTACAGCAATATAGAATTACTTTAAACAAACACTCAACTGATTGTTTTCATTTTGTTAGCACGTGCTTGCCTAATCCTCATGTAGAACTAGAGCACATACTTCCCTCCAAATATACCCACAGCTCTTTTCCTAAAAATCTAATGTTTTTAAGATGTGTTTTCCAAGGATAATCCAGTTTCTCAGTACGGTATTTCAAAACCATTATGATGTAAAGGAAGGAAGTATTTTAAGAAGGTTGAAACAAACGTAGCCTACAAAATCCTCTCACTGTAGCTTGTGTGAAGAGGATTATGGAAATAATATAATGCTGGATCCCAGAGGAATCATTTCAGAACAACAGTTAGGGGAAAAAAAACAAAACAACAAGACAATGAAGAAATCTCATTTGAAAGTCAGAGATGGAAAATAGAGCATTCAGAAATATCTTCTGAAATAAGACTGCATTCTTCCAGTTGCAGTCTGAAGAGCTTTGGCTTTGCAATCCCTTGGAAAATTGGTTATTGAAGCACTTTCCATTCTAGAAATCTAGTATATTTCCACCTGGATATGGCTTGAGTTTAACTCACACAGGACCAGGCATGCAGGTGACCAGTGTGCCTGAAACTACTATTTGTGGTGTATGAATATGGACAATGAGACCAGGCCTATATTTATGCATCATAAACCAAAATATCCTACTGTTGTCTGTATAAATTCCCCTTTTATAGAAAAATACTGAATTAAAAGTTCAGTATTCTTAACATTTAGTCTTGCTGGATTCATTTTACTCAGATTTCTTGTCCACAAAATTCAATATATACTACAATATAGTGAGTTCCTCTTCAAAACGATCTACCTCAGGATTTATCTTGCACTTATTAGGCTTTACTGTTTATGTCTGAGTCCTTTCTGCTTGCTTTCCCGGGACAGTGATTTACAACAGCTGTCTGGCATCGGGACAGCCAGGGACAGGTCTGCTGGGCTACACATTGCTTCATCGGGAAAATACCCAGTTAAAAACCAAACTCCGGATGCTCCCGCTGCCTCTCCAGGCCGGGCCTGTGCTGGGATCTGTCCTGCAGTTAACTGCCAGAGAGAACAACACAAAATGGCAAAGCCACCCCTTTACGGGGGGAACTCTTTATGCTTCCAAGCGATTAATGACAAACTTTCTAAAGCTGCTCCTTCGCTTTGGCCTGACACGCTCAAACCTCCTCCCTGCCAGCATCCACCTTCCCCTTCTTCCCGGGTTTGACCCCTCTGTGGGGAAAACACTCGTGGAGAGGAAAGACGGGCGCTGAGGGAGCGGACGGGGGGAGACAGGTGCTAGAGGGGCGGTAGGGAAAGGGGAGGAGAAGAGCACTGAAGGGAATAGGAGGGAAGAGGAGAGACGGGCCATGAGGGGACAGGAGGGAAGGGGGGAGACGGGCCATGTGGGGATAGGAGAGAAAGGGGGAGACGGGCCATGAGGGGATAGGAGGGAAGAGGGGAGACGGGCCGTGAGGGGACAGGAGGGAAGGGGGGAGACGGGCCATGTGGGGATAGGAGAGAAAGGGGGAGACGGGCCATGAGGGGATAGGAGGGAAGAGGGGAGACGGGCCATGAGGGGATA